CAATTATTTCAAAAGGAAGGTTTTTGCAATTACACTAAACCTCAAGGAGGTAAGTGCAATTTACCCTAAATATTATATTTCTACAAATTATTGATGTTTTGGTGTGGTGTGTTACAGTGATCAAGTAGTAATTTGCTACTCATTTATAAAGAACGTTGTGTGTTCAAGCCCTTTTGGAGCTTGGACATTGCAATGAAGAATGTTGGGTTGTTTGAACCAATAATGATTCAATTATAAGTTTTATTGGTTTAGCAAAAATAAGTTGGTTTCCAACCTAGTCTGAGTTTGAGGGCCTATTTAAATCGGAAATTAAACTGGTCAATGGGTCAATCAATTGAATTAGTAGGTCTGGTATGATTCTTAAAACATCGCTTGAACACACCATATCAAAACCATCATTAATCAACCATCTACTAGGTCACAACCATTCATCTTCAACACTACTATCAATTTGATCACATGCAATCAAAACAAATAGCTTATCGCCTCTTTCCCCCTCCCCTCTTTTTTCCATCATCACATGTTCCTCCCTAAATGCTCATCTCTTTCACTATCATTCACCATCTACCATCACATGTTCATCTTTTTTCTCTGTCCTCCTCTCTCGCTTCCGCTTCCTCTTCCTCTCTATTTTCCCTTCCAATAACAACTCCCCAAATTGAATTGACTTCAGGAGACAAGTTTATATCTAGTCGACTATGTCAATTCAATACTCCAGTGTCATCTTCACTTCTTTTGAAGGCTACCTCTTGGTTAGTGCCACAATTCCCCAATTTCCTGTACCATTGACTTCAATCTCTATAAATGCCCTTTATTGATTTAATTGATGAATCTGATTTTTTTATTATTATGCCCCCGTTTGGGAAGCAAAATTTGAACTAAAATAGTCATATAAGACAAAATAGGCTATTTTAGTCTAATAAGACAAAATATTACATCTAATCCATAATCATTACATTCTTTCTTTTACAAAAAAAAGTCAAAAAAGTTAAAAATTCTTTCTAAATCAGACTTTTTAACTTCAAATTAAAATAATCAAAAAAATTAAAAAATTAAAAAATTAAAAAATTAATTCACTTCCTAAATGGAGGCATGTATATTTTTTTATTGAATTTGAGTATATAATTTTTTTATTGTTGAATGGTAATTAGGGCAAATTGATTGATGGTGGCTTGGGGTGGAATTGATGGCTTTGTTTTGACTTTGGGTGACGTTGCAACAGTGGCTTTGGTATGGGGGGAGAGGCTGGACCTAGCGGGATAGTAGTGCGGTAAGCTAGGTGTGATGGGGATATTAGTAGGTAGGTGCTAGGGTTGGGTAAGTGTTAGGGTTTTCATTTATTTTTTAAAATATATTTGCTTACCAATTTTGCAAATTTTAAATATTTATGTTATTTCATACCTTAAGTACATATATCTATTTTATTAGATTAATCTATCAATTTTGATATTGTTGAAGGTAAAACGGTAATTTTGGTAATTTTTTATATAAGGTTAATATGACCTTTAAGGGTGAAATGTTAATTTTGTACTTAATAATTTAGCTTAATTCAAACTTATATCAAATAAATTGTCGTTAGAATTATAATTATTTAAAATATGGCAATTATTATTTAATTACTCTTCTTGTATTTATATAAAAATTAGGATAAATTACACTTATAACCCCCATAGTTTGATTCAAATTTAATTTTGATCCTTATTGTTTCAAATTAAATAATTTGATCTTTCCGTTAAAATTAGAGATTAATTAAAAATTTGTTAGTTATATAAATAGAAAAAATAATGTCATCGCATCTTTTATACTAAGATACATATTTTACATTGTTTATCTTTTTTTACTTTTTTTTTTTTTTTTGGATGAATAACATTATTTATCTTTATATCTTTACACTATTTACATTAGTCCTATTTCCTTTAACGACCTTGCTAAAAAGAAAATCGGTGCAAGTATTTTTAGACTTTGGGGTTTGTTGTAGGGGTGGGCGCGGGTCGGTTGCGGCCACGGAACCTCCAATCCGCCATCCGTCCGCTAGATTGGCGGATTGGAGAAAATCAATCCGCATCCGTCTGCCAATCCGGCGCATGCGGATTGAGCGGTTTGGCGGTTTGGCGGATGGATGCGAATCGATTTGGTGGTTTGAAATTTTATAAATTTTCAACATAGCTCAACTTGTGCACTTCCCAAAAAAAAAAAAAGTATTACAGTCAATGACTTAAAAAAGTATTACAATTACTGCATGCCTCATCCAAAAAAAGAAAGTTTAAAACTTTATATTATCACAATCACTGCATGCCTCATCCACATATTATAATCACAGCATACCTCATCCACATAAAGTATTACAATCTATGGTTCTTAAAATATAAAAACAATTCAAACCATCAAAACCATGAACAGAGCAATAGTAAAGATTGTATGTCTCTGTATTGTTACATTAACGGTAATTTTGGTAATTTTTTATATAAGGTTAATTTGACCTTTAAGGGTGAAATGTTAATTTTGTACTTAATAATTTAGCTTAATTCAAACTTATATCAAATAAATTGTCGTTAGAATTATAATTATTTAAAATATGGCAATTATTATTTAATTACTCTTCTTGTATTTATATAAAAATTAGGATAAATTACACTTGTGACTCCCATAGTTTGATTCAAATATAATTTTGATCCTTATTGTTTCAAATTAAATAATTTGATTCTTCCGTTAAAATTAGAGATTAATTAAAATTTTGTTAGTTATATAAATAGAAAAAATGATGTCATCACATCTTTTATACTAAGATACATATTTTACATTGTTTATCTTTTTTTACTTTTTTTTTTTTTTTTTTGGGTTGCGGCCAAAGGAACCTCAAATCCGCCATCCGTCCGCCAAGTTGGCGGATTGGAGAAAATCAATCCGCAACCGTCCGCTCATCATCACGTATCCGTCCAAAATGCGGCGGATCGGTTCGGTTCGGTCGGTTTTGGCGGATCGATATATCCGTTGCTCATCCCTAGTTTGTTGTAACTTCAAACCTAAAAGGAAGTTAATGTAATAAATAAACCAATTTAATTCAAATTCAAATTTAAATTTTTTTTCATCTATAGTTCGCTTTGTCAAAATCATCGTCTTTGCTAAATCATTAAATCAGACATTACAATTGAGGGCCTATTCAAATATATTATGGGTAAATTACACTAATATCTTTAAGATTTTTGTTTAATATAAATTCTTTCTTTATATTTGAAAAATTACACTTATCACCTATCAGATTAAATAACATATTTACCCATTAGTCTTTACATATAAAATCATAAAATAATACAAATATTTTATTTATGTCATTTCAAGAGATATAACAATCATTTTCTTTTGTTTAGCTCACACAAAAAATTGAGTTTATTTTTTAATTTTTAAATTTTTTTTATTTTTACTGAATTTTTAAAATATTTTAAGCATTTTTTAAAAATTTTTAGATACAACTAAAAAATATAAATTATATTTATTGGTGTTTTGTTTTAAAGTAAAAGATCACCATTAAACTATATCATTGTGTTTGAAAATTTTATATAAAATTTATGTTTATATATCATCACTCAATAAGAATATGTTCAGGTATAATTTAATGATTGAAAATTGTAGAATGTAGTCATAATGATAGATAAAAGAAATGGTAAGAAAAATGACAAGATGGTCATTTAAAAAATGACGAATCACACTAACGGTCCCTATAGTTTGGACCTTGTGTCATTTTGATTCCTGACTTTTCAATTGTGATACATTTGACCTTGAATTTTGAATTTTGTTCCAAATAAATACAATTGAAAATACCAATGCTCAATTTCAAAGACAAAGTCATCAATTTGATAAAATAAACTAATTTGACAAAAATAAATATCAATTTTTTTTAAAAAAAATTTAAAATTATTTCTACTCACTAAAGATAAAATTATATAAAATTAATAAATTTTTTAAACATTTATTTTTTTTTTTGGTTAAACTACAAATAGATCCTAATAATTAGACTTAATTCCCATCAAATTCTATTGAAAATAAATCTTGATAAATCTGTCACTAAAAATAATTTTATTGTGACACTTTTTTATATGTCACAAAAATTGACAATTAATGACTTTTGTTTTGTAATGATTTTTATAAATTATCGCTAAAACTTACCATTAGTGATATTTTTTATGACAAATTTTTCCCATAGAACTTATTAGATAATAAGTCCACTTGTTAAAATCTATATGCAAGTACCTTTGTTTTTATTAAATTAATTTTTATTACGTATTTAGATGATAATTATGTAATGAATAATTTTTTTATTTTTATTAAATTAGTTTCTATTTTTTCAAAAGTCAACCATAGCAACAACTTTAATATCATTATTAAATCAATCCTTTAAATCAAAAAATCTAAAACCAAAAACATTTCATATATTAAACAAATCAATTACACATTAAAAGTCTCACAACCACCCATTACATGACAATCATCCAAACACATAATAAAAATTAATTTGATAAAAAAACATAAATATCTAAAAGATTTTATCTTTGGTAGTTAAAAATTATTTTTTAAAATTTAAAAATATTTTTTAATATTTATTTTTGTCAAATTAATTTATATTTTATTAAATTGACGACTTTACCCTTAAAATTAAGCAATAGTATCTTCAATTGTCTTTATTTGAAACAAAATTCAAAATTTAAGATCAAATGTGTCACAATTGAAAAATCAAAGATCAAAATGACACCAGTCTCAAACTATAGAGACTACTAGTTTAATTCGCACTTAAAAAAATTTTAACGCACAACATCAACAATCCAACAGACAAGTTGTAATAAGATTACAAACCTTAAGAAGGGGAATGTAATTTTTTAAATGAAAGAGAAAAATCTGTACTAAACAGAAACCTCAGAAGATGTTAGTATAATTTACCCATATATTATTATTACAGCATAGAGCCCATATGCTATTAAGCAGAAATCCAAGATTGAACTCAATTATTTAGAAATATCAATTCATAAACTTGGCAGCTATATTAATGACATTTTTCCATTTCTATATACATATAATATTATTAAGATCCTTACATAACTCCCATTCCCATTCATATACTACTTACTACATTTTTTCCAAAATCAGAATACATACAATACTCAATACTCATACCCAAGTCAACTTGAAAACTAGGTTGATTTTCAACTACAACTACACTATCAGATCTTATGATTAAAAATAATTTGATTATTTTTTTCCTACCTGAGATTCAATCCATGCGCATTCTTGCCGGACAATTGTCATAAAAATTAGCTTCTGCACTGCATACTCTTGTCTAAAAATCCTCTGCACGAAAAATAGATCCTGCTTACGGAGAAGTGGAGAACCAGCTTCATCGCTCAACCAATGGCGATGAGTCACGCAAATTTGGGTGAAGTGGTCTTGATGGGGGCCCAGATATCTGCACCATTGCTGCTAGCAACTCCGGTAGTACATGAAATTGGCACGAGACATAAGCCTTTGCTTCGAAGGCTGTGTGGTCCAGCTTCCTTAAAAATGAAAATACAAAAGTACAATTCAGTCATAAAACTCGGCCAATTACTCTAAAAGACCATTTACGCTAGTATAACTCCTGGTTTCTTTCTATTTATTTGTTATTATTATTATTTAAAATGGAAATGTGATGATTAAAATCCAAGCAATCTGACCAGTGAATGCTCACCTGCATCTTAGGTGTGGGGGTGCTCTGGAGGTATGGAGCACTCAACAACTGAAAACCACAAGCAATTGGTTCAAAGTCCAAATTGTCACCAAAGTATTCAGATATAAGAAAATGAATACACATAATTGCACATCACTCATCTTATCATAAAGTTCAATTTAGAAAAGAAAATCCGAACTTTGAGTACTAGCTATGCTCTGGTCACATCCTAAAAGCTCAAATGCATCAACAACAATAACAATCTATACTTGAGATTCCTGGTAAACAGGAACTCAAATAGGTGAAGAAACTAAACAGGAACTCAAATAGGTGAAGAAATTGCCACTCGTGGGATTGGATTTATCACAAAATAAATAAATAAATAGCATATTCCAAATTATAAACCAAAGATAATCTATCGGTAGTGGACAGTTCTAAGCCAAGTTTTCAACCCAAAAACAAAAAAATCTACAGATTATGTAGTTGCTTTAAACATTTATGGAAAAAAAAGTTGGTTTTCGAAGAAAAAACTGAAGCATAGTTTGCACAGTACTCAAAACAATCTCCTAATGCTTCACAACAATCAAATCGTAGCCACTCATAATATAACACAGAAAATTAGCAGTTCAGAACTTCATAGTATCTTAACCAATGACAGGGATACACTATTGGCTAGACAGGCCGTACACAAAAAGAAAAAGCATTCATCATACAAAAGAAGACTGACTTATAACTGAACAAATTTTTGCCCCCCAAAAAAAAAATTTATTTTCAACATTTAGATCTGAAATGCAGCTGTTGCAAGTGAGATACCAAAGATGACCAATATCCAAAAGTCCCCTCCCAGGCAACTATGTATATTATACTAGTAATTAGTCGGATAATTTCAAACTACAGTACTTTGCACACCCAAAATTTCAGTAATTTGCACTCTCAAAATTATAAAGATTCGCAACCCCAAATTAATTACATCACAAAATTTTAAAAATAGTTTCGAAATCAAGTTTATCAAATATTGATCTATTCTATTTGTTATGTGTTATTTGTTATATTTGTGTGTTGTTTAGAGTTATTTATATTCTTCTATTTATTCTTATTTGTTACTGTTCTTGTTTTTTGTTCATTTGTCATTTATGTTTTTTTTCCCCTTCTATAGATCACTTTAATTTGCTTATGCACCTTATTTTGCGCTCATTGACGTTTGTTCGTTCTCTAGAAATAGGATTATTGTCTGAAAATGAAAATATTGTCTACGTTCAACTTGTCATTCTTAAAATTGGAGTTCATAAAAACATACAATTTCAATTATGAAAATTTTCAAGATTAAACCGCATAATAGGATGTAAATTGATTTTGTAACAAGTTATTTGATCACATTTACTGAGAAAGATATTACTTACGGTTTTGATATCGAGTCTAATATATAGATGGTTTTATATATATATATATACTACAAGTGGTGATTACAACATTTTTAAATAGTTGACTTTACTAGATGGAGACATAATAATAGTTACTATTTTTTTAAGTCAATGGACACCAAAAAAATGTCCAATTATATTTTTGTTCCCAATTATGTTGACAAAGAATGTTTGATTAACAGTAATATTATTCACTTTTTTGTGCTGGTATAAATCAATTTAAAATTTTTATAAAAAATTTTTTTGATGAAAAGTTATATGTGTTTTCGCCCCCACAAAGTTCAAATCCTGAATTTATCCCTGCTCCCAGGGGATCTCTCAAGTTCAAATTCAAACAAAATAAAGAATAACAAGCATTCAAACAGGCATGTGTTTATTTGGATGTTAAAATAAAACTAGGATGATTTTGGCCAAGTAATTCATACAAGGATTTTCCATTGCATAACTTTAAGCCAGCATAGATTAGAGCAAGCTTACAGTCGACCAAAAGTTTCTTCAAAGACATCCCATAAAAAGTGAAATTAAACAGTTAGGTAATCTTCAAGCAAACTAAAGCAGGGGAAGGCCAAACCTTAACTTGTTCGTGCAGAAATCTAATATATTCCATAGCCTCTAGAAGAACCGAAGCTGTGTCTGTCTGCAACAAACCTAAACTGAGTGAGAATTACAAAGGTAAATTACTTTTAACATAAAGAACTTTTATGAAAAAGCCATAACATAAACCGCATCAACATGTTAAATCACAACCTAAATCAACATCATCATTGACAAAATCATTTTTCTTTTTCTTTTGTGGGATGCATAGATTCTGTTAGCTCCACTTTCAATATAAGCAATGCGTAGGTTTCAATTAGATTCCGGCCTAGTGCAATAAACATTTCACACGCTTTGCTTAGAAAGAGTAAGTTGTCATACCTTCCCATATGGTGAAACAAGCTGTTGCAGAGCCCCAATTCTTTCGCTAAGCTTCTCTTTCCTCTCCTATCATCCAAAAGAACATTTTAAAGATGGAAAAGCAAGCATCATACGATAAAAGAATGGATGTGCCAATCAAACAGGTAGACCTCCCAAATTACCTGGCTTCCACAACTTGGAAGAACCCGGCAGAATATAAGGCAGTATTTACATCTTTTTGTTTTGTTCCTCACGGAGTTTATTTTAAGTTTGAAATGTACTATTAGAAACCATTCTCCTTTACATTTTTTTGTTTTGTTTTGTTGCTCAACGAGTTTATTTTAAGTTTGAAATGTACTATTAGAAACCATTCTCCTTCCAAAATGTAATTTTGGTATATAAAAGAAAACAAGAACAATACAGCTAAAAGGAAAACAATAATACTAGAGAATTGCACAAATGTAGAGGATGATAAGAAACCTTGGAGGAGATGGACAAATCAGCCTTGTGTCGTTTTGGTGAAAAAGTATTGAGACTGCTTTGATCAATGGAAAGGGGGCTCCTTTTGTGTTCCATCATCGTTCTCTCCTCTATTGTTGCTTCTCGCTTAGATAAAAACCAGAAAAGAAATCAATATGCACATCGACAATAGAACAGAATAGCATGCAACCAAACACAAGCAATGCATAAGTTCATTTAAAAAATCCCACAGAAAGAACTCCGAAGCAACTAATGATACAATTGGCTGATCATTCATCCAGTTCCTGTAGATGATAGAAATGGAGCAGAATCCTGAACAGCAAGTTACTTAGATTTTCTGAACATAATCATTTACAAATTACACCATTATGTTTCTATAACAGAAGATAACTTAGAGCATGGTTGTTAGAATCTTACGATGCACATCGATTCGATACGAGTTGCAACCAAAACGATTTGATTTGTATTGTTGAATCTTAAGTTGAGTGAATCTTATGATTCAATTGCAATTCACTATGAATCTACAATTCACTGCGATTATTTAAATACTATGTGTATTTTTATATGTATATCCCTATATAAATTATATATTATGATAAATAAAGTGAATATTGCAATCATTGATTCACTATTTTGGGAGTCCCAGACACCTATTTAACATCCCTGAAGGAAGGGGCAACATGATGAAGAAGACCGCGAAGGTATGGAGGAAAGTTTGGGAAGAGAAGCAGGGGATCTCTGAAAAGGGGGGAAAAACAAATTGAGATTCAAATTCAAGAATCGTTCATGAATTCACAGTCAGTACTTAATAGTTGATGGTTCAAATTTGTCATGGATTTTGGCTTTTATGACTGAAAATCCACATTTGATTTTTCAATAGAAAAGGGAGGAAAAGTTTTTAGGCATTGTGTGTTTTGAGATAATATAAAATCAATCAATGACTTAAGTGAGACAAACATACACATCATAGACATACTACTATGTGTTCAAAGAATACTGACTACAGATCTGTCTCCTACTTCAAAATAAGCCTCTCAATTATATCTCCCTAATTGATATACTCTGAAATTCCATATGTTTACTAGGATATTGCATTCCAATGATTTTGAGAACGCCGGTAATGCTTTCTAGTTGCAGAAAGAAAAAATGGTCTTAGCAGTAAGCTTAGAAACAGGATACCAACCAAAAAATTATTCTCCACTTTTTTTTAGGCAATTAGGTTCATTAATCGCTTCTACGAATAGCATCATGCAAAGCAACGACTTCATTTTAATAGCTCCATCTCAGGGGACATGTATTGGAAAGATGCAAAAGATTGATGAATTTAATTTACATTAATAAATATACACAAATAGTTGAAATTCCCCAGAAATTATTTATCAGTCTGTGTTTAATTTGTAGCCTCCTCTGGGAAGCATCCTTTACCTCCTTGAGGTAGGTTGAACATATGGAGTGAAACATCTTCACAGAGACAAGCATAAAAAAAGTCAGCCATATCAAATCCCACCAAAAAACAAAGTGGTTGACATTTCATTGAGATGGTTTAGTTTAATAATCTTCCTAGCTAGAAGATCTCTATGAATGTAGACCTAATATTTGTTTATAGGGCAATCTAATTGCAAATTATAATAATAAATAAAATAAATAAACCGTACACGACAAACCCAAGTAGGTAATATTAATAATTATCAGTATATATTAAACTAAAAAGCATGGACTGATTTGCTCAAAGAACCCTTAGTTAGGTCTGTGACTTCTAACATAGTATTATATAGGCAGCAAAATATTTTGTAATACTGGAAGCCTAAAGATTCTGTGTAACGGTTTAATAATTGTAGGCTAACAAACAGACACGGGTTTATTAAAATTATTGAAAGCCCAACCAGCGACCATGTCATCCTAGATTCGAGTCTCACAGGTTGAACATATGGAGTGAAACATCTTCCCTAATCCCTATTTCCCTCCTACTGATTGTTGAGAAAATAATAATAATTAATTAACAAATACTAAAGCAAAGTGAACATCTCATTCCAAATTTATAACCTCAAGTAAGAGCGTCTCCAATCCCTCATCAATTTTTTCATCAAATTCAAATTTGATGAAAAAATAACTAAAACCGTGCTCTAAACTTGAATCAAATCAAGGGAGAAACAATTTTTTCACCAAATCAAAGATGTACCAAATCCTTCACCAAACTTCTAACAATCATATTTTCACTCAAATTTTATAAAATTTTAAAAAGAGCAAGGAATGGAGGTGGGTTTCTTTCATAAAAAATGGTAAAACAAATTTTTAGGATAAGTTTGTAATTTTTCAAAAAGATTTGATATGGAAAAGAAAAAAAAAAGAAGAAGAAGAAGAAGAAAAGATTAGAGCGTTTTATATTAGATCAAACTTTTAACCAAATTTAGACTCAAATTTGATGGGGAAAACATGATTAAGGGTTGGAGATGATCTAAAATGAACTTAATCATGTCAAATATCCAGCAATTCTTTGGTTTTAACCAAAACCCATGATGATCTGCACTTCTCAGATCAGATAAGAGCATATGAAAAAATAAAAATAAAAAAATCAGCTAATGACACCTTAGAATTGCAATCTGTAGTCACTCTGGAATAAAACCCATGAATGGCACAAGATCATCCTTGGCTTTGTGTGAATGTGATTGAGAACAACTTAAACAAATAAATCAACATTGTGGGGGCCCAGATTTTGAATTGTATAACAATTCATGGACCATTAATTTAACCATTTACATACAGTCTTACTATATTAATGCGGTGATTAATTAATATTAGTCCATTCTTTCAAAACTTGAATACAATATTTAAATATCAACATGAGATAAGCATATATGTAAGAGTACAAGTAATCTACATATATATGTCCAGAGAATCACTCATCAAAGCAATCCCAAAATCAAATAGCACTTTCAAACAGAACACTAAAATCCAATCTTCAGAAAAACAAGATTTTAAAGAATCCAAATTTTCAATCCAAAAAAATAAAAAAAATAAAAAAAAAAGGTAAAGGTACCCAAAAAAGGGCGTTGATAGTGGGAATGTCTAAAGAACTTACAGTGAAATTAACACACTGCATTACAGAGGCAGTCTCAAAGCAACAAATGGAAATCTTCACAGACCCACCACAAAGACCCAGAAGAAAACTTTGATTCAAAGACAGAAACCTACCTCTCTCTCTCTCTCTCTCTCTCTAAAATTGCTATATGTTCTTTGTTGAAAAGGGCTTTTAGGGATTTGTGTTAGTTGTTGCAGTGATGGTGTCAGAGAACAAGACAAAGTACTTATTCTCACTCACTCTCTGTCTGTCTGTCTGTCTCTCTCTCCCTCTAAAAAGTCTCTCCCCAAACCAAAACAGAGCCGTGTTTTGAGTGCGGTAGTTCTTGAAAAAGTTAACTAAAACCTTCAAAAACCGACAAAAACCAACAAAAACAAAGAAAAGTTGGTCAGTCTTTTTAGAGAAAATCAGGTTCTTGTCGCCGGAAAGTCGCCGGAAAATCAAGAATACAAGAAATTGTTTGGGTTGTAAATATGGGTTTTAGTCTATCAACCTAGAGGTGACTGGAAAAACAACTGAAATTGAGACTTAAAAGTTTGAGTATTTTAAGGCTTGAAATGTGAGCTGAAAAAAGAAAAGAAACCAAAAGTTCACCGGAGAGACTGAAACTCCGGCGAGAGAGAGAGAGAAAGAGAGAGAGAGGGGAGGAGGAGGGGAAGAGTTTTCGAAAGTGTTGTAAATATTTATAAACATTTTGAAAATAAATAAATAAATAATAGTAATAATAATAATATAATAGATATATAAATATAATTGACAGCTAATATCCAACTATACAATGAGAGGGAGGGAGGGAGTAGTTAAATTGGAATCAGGATCCTCTCCTTTCAGCTTCCATCCTTGCACCCGTTCTTGCAGGCCTTTGGGTCTACTTTTAGACCCAATTTTGATAATCCGAACCGTTCATATTTTATGATTTATTCAGTATATCATACCTGTAAAAAATCAAGTTGATCGGATATCAGAAAGTATGTGTTCGAAAAATTGAACTAAAAACTATTTTTTAAATAATTTAATAAACAGTTTTCCAAACACATACTTTTTGATATCCGATCAACTTGATTTTTTACAAGTATGATATACTGAATAAATCATAAAATATGAACGGTTCGGATTATTAAAATTGGGCCTAAAAGTAGACCCGAAGGCCTACAAGGACGGGCGCAAGTACCAGGCTGCAAGGAGAGAACCTTGGCTCGTTAAATTGAACTCCTCTGAGTGAGAGTGAGGTCACTTTTTAACCCCATGGAGCACTCTGAAAATGACATTGCCACTGTTTGGAAAGTGGGTTTGAGTGAATTTGGGATTAAAATAATTATAAAAAATAAAATAGATTTTTTAATTTTAATAAGATAAAATTTTACATCCAACTTATAATTATTATTTTGCTTTTTTTTTTCTCTCATAAAAAAATCAAAAAGGTCAAAAGTTCATTCTAAACTAGGCTTTTAGTCCCAACTAAAATAATTAAAAAAATCAAAAAATCAACTCACTTTCCAAATTAAATTATAATAAAAGTTAAAATGAAATTTTTTTTAATTAAAATAATCATTAAAAATAAAATAAAATTTTAATTTAATAAGATAAAATATCACATTTTAATTTTATTTTTTTTTCATCAAAAACTAAAAAAATTAAACATTCTATTGTTAAGGAAAACTTTTAATCTATATAGATATATATAGAAACTTTTTAATTTATATATATAAGCATGGCTGTCATTTCGTCCGCGTGCTTTTAACATTTCTATGTGTGTTGAAAAAAGTGGAATTTTCAAAAAAAAAAAAAAAAAAAAAAAAACTTAAAACGTAGTATGAACCTAAACAAACTAAGATTAAAATTAAAATTTGTAATTTTAAAATTTTAATTTGTTTTTAATTTAAATTATTTATCTATTTTTATTAAGTAAAATTAATAAAAAAATAATATTTTGGTCATTAAACTAAATGAAGACATCTTATGTATACTACTTACATTGAGTTTAACAAGTAAATATTCTTTTTTTGACGATTTTATTTGACAAAAATAGACAAATGTTTAAATTAAAAATAAATCAATATATTAAAGTTTAAATTGATAAAATTAAAAACTTAGCGTTTATTTTAATGCAAACCTCAAACCTGAGGTTATATATATATATATATATATATAATTGTCCCAAAAAATATTATAAATCAAAAAGGGAGAGACTTCTCTCGATCGTACTGTTAAGTTTGTGGGGCTCACCACGAGTTCTATTTTGATGATTCGGACCATTTAATGTGTAGAGTTCATCAATTATTTCATGTCTGTAAAAAATCACATTGATTAGATATCGATAGTCTCTTGATCAAAATACATTTTTGTCAATAGTAAATATAAAAAATCACATTGATTAGATATCGATAGTCTCTTGATCAAAATACATTTTTGTCAATAGTAAATATAATTTAAAAAAAATTGTTAAAAAAAATGTATTCCGATCAAGGGACTACCGATATCTAATCAACGTGATTTTTTGCAGAGATGAAGTATTCAACAAACTCTATATATTGAATGGTTTATATTATCAAAACGAGACCCGTGATGAATCTTACGAATCCAAAAATATACTCCAATTTACATAATAAAGTGGAGAGAAGCCTCTCCCAATCACATATCGATAATGCAATGATATGTTCTAATTGTTCAATTTAATTAGAATACGTTTATTTCTCAATCTTTAGTAAAATTTGTGTTTTGATTGTTTTAGTATAATTTTATTTTCTGAGTATGATTCATGATTTTTTTACCATGCTTTGCATGTCTTATTATGTTATAATTTTATAATATAATGTGCATGCTCATAAGTATTTAAGTTTATTTTCATGACATGCTAATTAGTTTTTACATTTCTAGTATATTTGCATGATTTTAATTGCTAGAATGATTTACATGTTTATTGTGAATTAAATTCATTTGTAACTCATGGCAATAAATTTTAATTTAATTTTTTGGAATTATAAATTTTAAGGTTTTGTAACTTGTCTAATTTATTTACATATTTATTGTGTAAATTAAATTGTATATTTAGTTTTGGAGTTTTAAGTTTTATATGTGTAACTCATTTTACATTTTAATTCACTTAATGTCTATTCATGATATATAGTGCTAGAAAGGTTAAATACAAGGTATTTTCTAATGAATTGTTTGGTAGTATGTTATGATTTGCTACTAACTTTAGGCATACCTATGCGAAAGGGAATAGAAACAATACGGTGCTGTTTGGTAATACTTACATTTTCAATTTTCTGTTTATATTTACAAAAATTTTAAAAACTCAAATAAAAACTTGTTTGGTAAAATTTTTGATTTATAAATCACATAATAAAGTGGAGAGAAGCCTCTCCCAATCACATATCGATAATGCAATGATATGTTCTAATTGTTCAATTTAATTAGAATACGTTTATTTCTCAATCTTTAGTAAAATTTGTGTTTTGATTGTTTTAGTATAATTTTATTTTCTGAGCATGATTCATGATTTTTTTACCATGCTTTGCATGTCTTATTATGTTATAATTTTATAATATAATGTGCATGCTCATAAGTATTTAAGTTTATTTTCATGACATGCTAATTAGTTTTTACATTTCTAGTATATTTGCATGATTTTAATTGCTAGAATGATTTACATGTTTATTGTGAATTAAATTCATTTATAACTCATGGCAATAAATTTTAATTTAATTTTTTGGAATTATAAATTTTAAGGCTTTGTAACTTGTCTAATTTATTTACATATTTATTGTGTAAATTAAATTGTATAGTTTTGGAGCTTTAAGTTTTATATGTGTAACTCATTTTACATTTTAATTCACTTAATGTCTATTCATGATAGTGCTAGATAGGTTAAATACAAGGTCTTTTCTAATGAATTGTTTGGTAGTATGTTGTGATTTGCTACTAACTTTAGGCATACCTATGCGAAAGGGAATAGAAACAATACAAGTCCAGATTAATAGAATTTGGGACTGAAAAAAAAAAAAAAACGGATTAATCCTCAATTGGATTGGTTTACTCGTCTTATATAAAAATAATTGTTTGCTTGAGTTTTAATTGCAGTTATTTACCAATGTGTTTAAGCAAGTTTTATTTGCTTGTACTGTTGTAGCAATTTTTTACATTACTTGTAATTTGGTTAGCAATTTTTAAATTGCTTGTAAATTTGGAACTTGGTTTGGTTTTAACCCAGTTCATCCATTGGAAAACTTAATTTAGAAATTTGTTTCCCATAACATGCTCTTGAAAGCTTTGTCAAAAAGGTTAACCAAGTTTTAGGTGAGACCAATGTGACCCCTCTAATCTTCCTGGGAACATTTTTGACCATGTTCAATTCTAGGTTAAGTGGTGAGACTAGTTTTGAATTGAATTTCCAACTGTCGGATTATCTAGTGTTAAGTTTAATTTCTGAAAATACAAAAAGTGAAATTCTGTTGTATTTTTCAGAAATAGCAACTGTCATTGATGCTATTGTTGCTGCCAATGTTGGTGGGGATCAGAACCTTGAGGCAACTAGCTTGCCAACCCCGATTGCTGTGACCTCTGTAGTCAACCCTGCTGCTGCTCCTGCTGTTCCGGGAGGCCTGCTCAACCATTATGAGCGTCCGAAAAAGTTCACGGGAGTGAATTTCAAGAGGTGGCAGCAAAAGATGCTGTTCTACCTTACTACTCTTAGCCTTGCAAGGTTTTTGAGTGAATATCCACCAGCCGTGGAGGAGAATGAGCAAGACAAATAAAAGCTCATGGCTCTAGATGCTTGGAAGTAGTCAAACTTCCTTCGTCGGAACTATATTGTGAATGGCTTGGCAAATTCACTTTTTAATGTGTTTTATGCCAAGAAGTTGACAAAGGAGCTGTGGGATGCTTTGGACAAGAAGTACAAGACCGAGGATGTTGGGGCAAAGAAATTTGTAGTTAGCTGATTTCTGGACTTCAAGATGGTGGACTCAAAAACCGTCATTAGTCAAGTCCAAAAGTTCTAAGTAATTCTGCACGAGATTTATGTAGAGGGAATGTTCTTGAATGAAACATTCCAGGCAGCTACATTAATTGAGAAGCTGCCTAATGGCTGGAAAGACTTCAAGAACTACTTGAAGCACAAGTGAAAGGAGATGACAGTCGAAGAGCTCGTTCTTAGGCTTCGGATTAAGAAAGACAACAGGAGGAAATAGGGGAATACCTCCACTGTAAAATCAAATGTGGTTAAGCATGGCCAGTTCTCGGGGGTGAGGAAAAAACCACAAATAAGCAATAGCTCAAAGCTGGGGGCAAGAGGCGGTGTCTCCAAAAGGCTGGTCCACAAGCTGCAAGAACCTACTTTTGGGTTAAATAAAAAATGCTTCAATTGTGGAAGCGATAGGCATCGACGGTTGACTGCCGCAAGAAGAAGAAGCCTACAACAAGCACCCTCCACAAAACAAAAGTCGGGCTCACATGGCTGAGGTGGAGGATCTCTCACAAGATGTAGACGACATGCATCTAGCAGCTATTGTCACCGAAGCGAACATGGAGGGGTCCAACCCGAACGAATGGTGGGTGGACAACAGGACCACTCACCATATATTTGTGGAGAAGAAGATGTTCACAACTTTCAAACTGATTTCAAACGGTGAGAAGTTGTTCATGGAAAATTCTACAACCTCAAC